GGGGCTCCGGCCGCCTCCAGCAGGTGGCGCTCGGCACGTCCCGGCCGCCGGGCGCTTCGAAACGGCCGCTTCTCCCGTTACCCGTTGCCCGGGGTTGGAAACAACGCCTGATACGTTTTACTTCTTATTAGTAGTTTCAAAATAACTTCAAAGGGGGGTGTTTATCAGTGAAAGGTATTTTTAAGTTGGAGAACATCGGTTTCAGTAAGCCTGAATACATAAACCGGTGAAATGCGTAACTGGTTTATGATCCTTTCCAATACGGCAGCCGACTTCTGATGAGAAAGCTGTGGTGTCTGCTTTGATTCATTTAAATGGGCAAGGTATTTAGCTCTGTGTGTGTGAAAAGTATACACGATCATTTGTATTAATGTTTAATACACAAGTGTACAAAGATGTAAGCATGTGAGCAGTTTGGTACCCAAGTAACAAACTTTAGAACCACACTTCTGAAACTCTGTCCTGACTAGCTGTGAACTACTGATCAACTACTGACTGAGCTGAAAAAGAGCAACTTACGGCAATTTCAGCCACCTTGTTGTGTTGGTGCAGTTCTTCATTGTTACATGTTCTTGATCCAGAACATGAGTTAGAACTTAAAAATTCTAGGCTGGAGACATAGTCTAAATTCTCAGAATTAACTGTACAAGCTTACCACCTGGTGAATAAATGAAGAAGTTCTGCTGAACTTCATGCCAGTCAGGAGATAGAATTTGGTAGCAGGCCAGCAGACATACATCCCATGAGACAAGCTGTAGAGGACAAGGCTTGGGGGTCAGAAAGAATCATCACTGTACAGCTCTCACATGAAGTGTTTAGAAGAGGAGATGGAAGAGAATAGAAGCATCTTTCGAATGTGAAAGTTGCTGAATGATTTCCTCTTAAATTCTTCACAGAGATATCTGGAAATGAAAGTTGTCTGCTAGGAATCAGAGTGGAAAATAGTCTATATCAGACACCATTATGGCAGGGAGTGAGGAAGCCTATGCTAAATACATTAAAGATGATGAGAGAGAAGAATTCCAGGGAAAGCTAGAAACATGCTCGTAGAGTACGTTTAACAAAGTTGAAGTTTCAAGAGCAGTGTGCTATGCTGGGAGTATCTTGTAGTGATGGCATGATTGTTTTTCAGTGTGCATTTGGGAGCTGCAGGCAGCTGCATACTGAATCATGGAAAGATGAGGCTTAGTGAAGCCTCAGTTGAAGGTAGAAGATGTAGATAGGAGATTTCAATAAACAAGATATTCTTTGAGAGGCTCAAGAGATAAAAAGAATTAATGCAAGAGGGAGGTATAACATGCAGGGTTGATACCAAGCTTAGATATTAATGCTGAATGGAAGGTTTGTGGAGATTTGATGTGCTTATTCCTTCTCAGAGACTGCAACAAACTTGTACTTGTTTCTATTAATTGCTATTTAATTTCTTTATAGGAAAAGAATAATATTAAGTGGGCTTCCAGATGGGACTACATTTTGGAGTCCATGCCACATACAAACATCCAGTGGTTTAGGTAAGATTTGCATTTATTCAGTGAATAACCTTGCAGGGGAGCACGAAGATTTCTTATTTATGCTTCTAGGGATATATAACTTCTGCTGTGGTAGAACAAAGTCTGTTAGTTTTCAGGCAAGGAAACTTTCTTTTTTTCATATGTGAAGTAACTTTTATCAGTCTTCCATCTCTTGGGAGCAACTGTAGTATTGCATTTCACCAAAGGAATGCACCACTAGTGTCCAAAAGGAAAGCAGCCGACATAATTTTACTTTGTCATCTCCGTTCTGTAGAACTTTTGAGACGTTGCTCCTCTGCAGTGTTCTTATTGTTACTGTCTGGCTTTCTCCAACTGCCAAGTGAGAGGTACATATGTGTACTGCATGTTTTGTACTCAGCAGCTGCTTACAGTAAAAAGAAGGGTTTTTTTTTTTTACGAGTGAAAGATGTGTCTGAAAAGCTCGTACTTCCCTCTGTACGACGCAAATTATATCAAGTAAGTATATAATTTATGTTGAAATGTTAATGTTTTGTAATATGAAAGTGTTTGAAAAGGCTAATCTGATTAAATCATTGGTTGATAGCTATAAAATCTACTTGACAAAGTCTGCCGTAAGAGCTGTAGCTGTTTCATTAGGGAAATTACTTCTGAGCTATGTAAGGAGGAAAATAAAGAAAAGCAATAGGTAACTGTCTTGAGAATTAACAATATGTCAAAATACTATTCTTCTCACTTCTGTCTCCTAAGAAATCATAAAGGTACACAACTTAAACCAGTTTATCTTCTCTGGGTGGGAAAATACTGAAAGGTCTGAATGACTTAAGTAAACTCTGAATACCTAAGGCTATTCCTCAGACTTGAGCTGTACATGTGGTATGAATTGGAGTGCATGTCCTGAAACCTGAATAAGTGGATTGAAAGTTTGACTTTTTCTTTATCTACAGTATAATGAATTCCCTCGTAATTGTTCTCTTCTTATCTGGCATGGTGGCTATGATCATTCTGAGGACTCTGCATAAAGATATTGCAAGATACAACCAGATTGACTCTTCTGTGAGTAAGATTTACAGCTTTTACATAAGCATGTTTTTCTGGCGATAGTGATGTCTATCAATTAGTTTTGCATACAATCTAAAGAGATGTATAACTACCAAGAATTTGATACATGCTAATATATCTGGGGGTTAAAAACAGCTTTATTGCAATTTCATCTTTTCTAACAGCAGAAAAAAGATGTGACAGTCTTACTTTGCTAGCGTCATTTGATGAACTTGTAATATGCAAGGACAGACTTCAGGTTTTAGAAGTATGTTGAGTGATTCACAGAAACTTTTTGGTAGTGAACAAACCTGTATTTGAAATGTAAGTCCCTTTGTTCCAAGGTGTCAACCAAGGAAAGCCTCTTTTTTTAATAAATACTTTCACACTATTCCAACAGCCACAAGGCGCAGCGCAGACATTGAAAAGTGTTCTGAAATTGGTTCACTATCAAGATGTGGCAATTTCTCCTGAGTCCTATGGTTGCATTATGGAGTCAGTCTGGACATGTAGCTGGTGGTATGACATTGACCTAAGCAGCCAGTGTGTTATTTATGGAATCTCCATCTTTGGAGATACTCAAAAGCCATCTGGACATGGTTCTGGGTAACCTGTTTTAGGTGGTCCTGCTTGAGCAGGGGGAGTTGGACAAGATGACCTCCAGAGGTCCCTTCCAACATCAACCATTGAGTGATTCTGTGACTCTGGCAACCTAGGATTTTATGTAAGATTCTTTGTCAGTGCAGGCCTGTTTTAAGCCATGTTATGTGGCCTTAGCAAAGGACCTGCGCTGTATCTGTTGCAGAGACATTTGTAGCAGAGAAGCAAAGGCTTGCTACCCACTTTGGCATATTTTCTGTCTAAAAATGCATTTTATAGTCTGAATAACCAAACTTGTAAGGAGAACAGTTATTTTTATTGATGACTGTTTTTTCCCCGCTTCAGGAGATTAGGCTTAAAACTGCTGCAGCCAGGTATTGTCCCCATTGTAATGAAGCTGCATTAGGAAGCTCGGTTGCTGTCATTTTTCCAGTTTTGAGGTGGTATTTGTTTATCATAGTTTGTAGTATAGCTTGTCAAGAAAGCAAGTGTGCTAGCATGTGACTTGTGAAGTTTGGAAAGCGTGTGGTCTAAATTTGATGAGAATTATGATGCTATGCAACTTTATAAAGCAATGTATTTTTTAAAAAAAGTGATTATTGCAAAAAAGATCAAAAATTAAACCAATGGCTAATAATACAGTGAAATTAATGTGAGGATCAGTAGTTGTCTTGCTAAATGTTATGGGAGAGATTCTGATTAACATAGACTAATACAAATTGATGTTGCCTTTTGTCTGTGGCTGAAGTGTGGTGGAATCATGTTCTTTGTCTTCGGTTAGGAGATTGTGATATTGCAGTTCATGTGCAACACAACTTCTGGTTTCTAGCTGTGTTAGAACTACTTGGTGTGTTTGTGTGTGTGTGTAAATGATTTTTATTTATTTATTTTTTTAAAATACAATTCTGTTGATCACTGTGTCAAACTGAGCCTGGTTTGTCTGACTTAACGTAGTGACTGAAGCTTGTTGCCATCCAACTGAACCTGTTGCGAGTTCTTTTGAAATATGTACTCCTTAAACAGGAAAGGGGCGTGTCCCTATAGTAGCTTGCTGCCTTGGTGGAAAGGAATATAACTGATTGTGAGTTAGAGACTTGACCAGTTGACTGTGAGTGAAGGGCTGAGTAAAAATTACTCTTTCTTATTGGTAAAAGTGGTATCTGCAAGCCAAAGATGAGAAATAATGTCAGATACGAAAAAGGTTTGAATTTTTGCTGTTGTGTTGCTGTCTATCTAGATAAAGAAATATTCTAAAATGCACAAAAATGTTTCATATTGAAACTAAAACATCTGAAAGTACTTTTATTCTTCTTTGTGTTTTTGATATTTAATATCTTTTGTTAATGCAAATCCAGACAGTAATTAAAGTGGAAGAATTTTTTCACATCCTTTAACTGATCGTTTTTGTGAAGCTCCTGTTTGATCTCTCAATTAAATTATGTTCAATATCTTATATTCTGTTGTCTTTATTAGTTGATCATTCTTAATGTGATAAAGAGCAAAACTTGTAGAAGCTTGATTAGTTTTTATGGGTAACAGCAGGGATAGGTGTGACTTTCAAAAAACCACACTTATTTTCTTGCCAGTTGTAAGAGACTTAAAGATCTGTTGCAGTTCAAGAAGCTGATTTAAAAAGGTGTGAAATAATTGTGCAAAAGAGGACCTGAGCTGAGGAAGCTGCAATGAAGCAAATTAGTATCTCACACTTACGGAATGCTGGTGATTCTACTTGAAGAGAGAGAGATGCGTAAGCCAGTGATTGTGGTATTAGCAGAACGTTAAATGCGCATACTAACACCAACTGGCTTTTAGTGTGATGTAGATTTAATGAGACATACATTAATGAAGCGTTTTGAAATCATTAGATTACTTTTTGGGTCTTATGACTAAGAAAAGATTCCTGAATTGAAGAGAATTCATGTCAATATCTTTTCAACAATGAGATGTAAAACTCTTGTCCTCTTTTTTTAAATCTCTTTGATTGTGTCTATTTGCGTGTAGGGGACTTAAATCTTTTGTTAGAATATTTTGAGAACTAGGCTAAATTAATGGATAAGGTGAGGATTACTGCACTTTTTAAAAATGTACAGTAATTTTTAACATATTGGCCAAGATTCAAAAGTATCTTTTTAGATTTTCGTCAAATATTTTTTTGTAACTACGAAGTGTAGCTTGCTACTTGGATTAGTTGTACAAGTCTTATCCTCATCTTTGAATGGTAAAGGTTAGCGATATAAAATACTGCTGAAATCTTTAAACAAAAGTCTGGAAAATACTGAATCATAGCTAATTGACCTGTAATGGAAGAGTTTTATTAAAACCCGAGCTTTGAGATGAACACTTTGGCCTATAGGCCCATACAAGATAAATCAGGGGTCTCAATCGGCCAAGCTTGGTTTCTCTTTATTTTTCCTAAACCAAGATATTTACCATGTAGCTATATGTTTTAAAGTTTTTATTAAAACCAGAGAGTGTCTTTTGAGTGCATTTGCCAGGTTAGGTGTTGATAAGAAATCTAATACCAGCCATTCCAAATTTGTGCAACATTTTCCTTGTTCTGTCAGCAATTAAAGTACTAAGCATTTGTTTCTGCTTAGTGTTCACCATTTTGAAAACAGATAAAGATTTGCTTCAGATGGTAACCTTTTAAATTCTTTAATTCCTTGCTTGCAACTTCCTGGGAAAAGTCTTTCTTCTGTTTTACCTCAACAACTTTCTCATCATCATCACAATTAGTTCAAGTTCAGACTTACAGGATAGTGTGATCTTTATGCTGCTTTAACCAAACAAACCTTTCTTTACTAGAAGAGCACTGATGTGTTGGAATTATACCTACATACCTGGTATCGTTTTCTTTGAAGGCATAGTTTTTTGTTTGCTTTTTTTTATCGAAGTGTTATCTTGTGTTTAATAGTTTTCAGTTTTTGTATTAGTATATCAGACTTCTGAGAGTAATTTCTAGCCCACAAATGCAAGCGGAGGTATCAGTATGGGGAAGGCAAAGATAATCTTCCAGGGGAAAAAAAAAAATTACGTAATCTGTCGCAAGTTAAGATGCTCTATGTCATTCGCCAGTTTGATATGTATTCTTCTTACCCTATCTTTTTGTGTGCTGTAACTCTAGTGGTAAGCAGTCCCATAAACTAAACTCAATACTCCTAGGTTGAACAAAACCTCTAGCTTTTAACTTTGTGAGGAAGAGAGTGATCTTCTTGAGGGGTTGGTTATTTGAGGTCATGTGCGTTTGAGTTTTTTTGTGAGGGGAGGTGTTTGTTTTGAGTGACTTTATTGAAAAGTTTTATTCTTCAGCAGTGGTTCCTTAGAGCCACTGGACTGCGGATCCGCCCACCCCGTGCCATCCATCTGTTCACCTCTGGCAGTGGGACAAAGAGTGTTGGTACTTGCCCCTAGTGATTCTAGGGCGCAGACTTTTCTGGAGTACAGAAGAATATTGTCATTGAGACCGATGTGCTTTGTAATGGAAACAAAAAAAGATAAATGCTTGAACTAGATTGAAATGCTATAATCTAAGTTGAATTAAATGGAATGCTTTGTTTTCGTTTTAAATTTAGAATTATGTTATATGGTTTGGCTAATTACATTTTGTTTTTTCTTACTTAAGAGATGAGGATTTTCTTGATAAATCCTGCCTTTTTCTTTCACTGAACCATTAGGGGGTTATAAAATCAATGAGTGATGAATTACATGCAATTAGTCTGTCTTTGGATCTAAACTGGAAGTTAATTAAACTTTAAGTACGTATTTTGCATCTTGTTTGTGTTAATTCACTACTGCATTATGTATCTTTGGTAAAGACATTGTTGATTTTATACAGGAAGATGCCCAAGAGGAATTTGGCTGGAAGCTGGTTCATGGAGATGTGTTTAGACCTCCAAGGAAGGGAATGTTACTGTCTGTCTTTTTGGGCCAAGGAACCCAAATTTTCATTATGACATTTATTACTTTATGTAAGTAACTTTATTAAGGTGATGTGTTTGTAGTGTAATAGTGTAAGAAAGATGCAATATTATTAAACAAATGATAGAAGCCTGCTTTTGGAAATGAAGTCCTTTCTTTAGTAAAGTAAAATATTAACTGTTTCATAACAATAATCTAGATAGCTTCAGTAATGCTGCTGTTCAAAACGTTGTGGTATCTGGGCTAATTCAGATTCTTCATGATTGCAGAAATGAAGCTTCCTTGTTAGAAGTTTATTTTTAAAAAACAAAACCAGTTTGTCATGGTGTAAATTATCCAAGGATCCAGTAATGCAAGTTCAAAGACATGTAATGAAAGTTTTAATGTTCTTGGAACACTTTCTGTCTAATACGTTTGACACAACAGCCTGCAGCCATGCAGAAATAAGAGCAAGAATGCATGCCAATGAAATAATCCTGACACAACATTGAGATAATATGAGAGCCTACCATAAATAGCTATATATACATGTGATGATGTAACCTGTCACAAGTTGGTGTTTTATTATGTTATCTATAAAGTATATGACTATTCCTTTCCTTACTGTACAGTAGAATTGGGAAGTATACTGATATTTATTACAAAAGAAGAATTTTTCAAATTCTGCTCTCCAGGTTTTATTCGGATTTTTTGGTCTTTGATAGAGGAGCTGCTTTTTTCCTATTCATTACGTGATACTGTAAGATTAATGGAATTTTCTTGATGGGCTTGTCTTCACTGACAAACTCCTTTTCTGAAATATCTCTGGGCTGGCCTCTACAATTAGTTCAGACACAGGCAGCCTTCTTTTAATAGAGAGGCTTATTTTCAACATAGCAAATTCTTGAGTAAAGTGTTGTCCGTCATGGTGGCTGAGAACCTTTTGTGGAATTTCAGGCAAGTGACTCTATACCTCTTAAGATCTTCTATCTTCACACTTATTTCTACCTTTAAAAAAAAAAAAAAAAAAAAAGGGAAAAAACCCCAAACCAAAAAACCCACTAAACCCTAAAAAACGCCCCCCAACAACTCCCCCCCCGCCCTTCCCCCCCAAAAAAAACCAAACCCTGAGCTCTGTCAAAGTTTTTGGCTTCTCCAGACCTACTGTTCTCAGATGTCCTTTATGCCACATATTAAACTTCTCTTGTTACTTAGCATGCATAAGTATTGACGATGGATGTTTACAGAAGGACTGTAGGATTTTGGAAGCAGACTTCTTCAAGCTGAAATTTGGTTCAGGTTCATGGTTCATCTCTATGTGGCATTTTTTTTCAGTCTTTCGGCTACAAGACCTTTCTGTTTAAAAGATGAGGTGGAAATAATACTTTATTGTGAATGAAAAAATGACATTAGGGGTATGGTCATGTGATGGGGATATATGAGAGCTTACGCACATAGTCTTCATTTCAATATCTGGTAGTGGAAAGGGATAAACCTGTACAGTGGTATGTGTTACAGGGGAGTTTTGACATGTGTCCACAAATGACTAAATCTTTCTGTCTCTTTAGTCCTAGCTTGCCTTGGTTTTCTTTCTCCTGCCAACCGTGGTGCTTTGATGACCTGTGCAGTTGTATTGTGGGTCTTACTGGGAACTCCAGCTGGTTACGTGTCTGCCAGAATGTACAAGAGTAAGTACACGCATTTGTTTAATGTGACACAGCAGATTAAATTCAGAATTGCTCGGCTTAATATAAACCTCAGACTGGAGCGGGTGTCTCAGACAACAAATCTGCTTCTTGCTGCCGTACTGCAAAACGGTTGGAAAAAGTTCTGAACCTGAAATTGTTTTTACTTTTTCCCTCAGCGTTTAGAGGCGAGAAGTGGAAGACAAACGTTTTGCTTACAGCTTTGCTTTGCCCTGGGTTAGTATTGTTTCCCCTCATTCTTTCCTTTATTCTTAAGTATAAATGAATCTGAGGTGAGAAGGAGGGGGGAAAAAGTAAATTATGATGCTTGTTTGTGTGATTGTTTTCTTTATTGTTCTCCAAGTTGCTGTTCCTTTTGTATATTGCTTATCTGTGAATAAAAAGAAAAGTGAATTCTGAGGAGCTGGAGCCTAGTACTCTAGAACACAACTTCTTAGCATCTTGTTTTGTAATCAGCTGTGGGGGTAGGAGGACTCTCTTGCAAGGTGGTGTCACAGCCTTAGAGAATCACTGCACCAGAACATTAGGCATAGTGATGGGGTAATTGCAGCTTGGTACCACAGCACTCGGTATGTTCCACGTAATCCTGTCTTAAATGTTAATAGGTATGGTCACTTTGTTAGGAAGCACGTGGTTTTGTGGTAACTTCAGAGTGTCTGTAGTGCTCTTCTGTAAATAGGGAGAGACAGTGCTTTAGGCAGAACCTCTGTTACCTTAGTTATAGCATCAGTGTTGTCTTGTAACCATGTTATTGAAAAGGACACAGGAAATACAATCTAATTTTTTTTTTTAATTAAATAGCTATATACTGCTATACTAAACAGTAGATGTTTACTATGTTTCTGGGTAAGAATGATGCAGAGATTCTCTTAAATGGGTTATAATCTTTTATATAAATGTAGGTAGTGTCCAGTTTCAGATATGGCTGTAGCGTATATCATGTTATGGCCAATACTGTCGTGCTTGGGAAGGGTGATAGCTCTCCTACCTTTCGTTTTCTCATAGCTCTCAAGACCTTCTGTGAGAATTAGGTCAGTGAAGAAAGATAACAGGAACTAATTTCTTCTGTAGGTCTTCTGTATTTCTTGGTTGCAACTTGGGGTACATGAAGCTACCCTTTGACAAATGTCCTTGGCAAAAGTTGACGAAAAGGTTATAAATAATTTCTTAAGGTATCTCTCCCCCAAAAAAGCCCAGAATGAATAAAACATGACTTCGTTTTGAGTATGGTAGAATTTCATCAAATGAAATGTAATGCATTCGATAACAACCGAGTGTAGTATTTCTGTGAGGAAATCATATTTCTAAACAAAATGTGCTTCAGTCTCCCTGCTGTCATCTAGATATTATCTTGAGAGAGAAGAAAATATTTATTGGTGGAAGAAATATTGTGCTGATCATTTAAACTCCCAAATAAATTAAGTTTCACAGAGGAAGTAAAATGATTGGGGATGGTAGAATAGGAACAGATGTCTTGATTATGCTGTGCTAGTTCAGTGAATTTGCATAATATCATAAACAGCCTAAGGCCGTTATAGTCTCAGTAGACTGGTGGGAGTTCATATTTGCAGTATTTTTTTCTAACTTTGGAGGGGGTAAGTGGGGTCTGTGTTACGAGATAGGCGGATGATAAAGATTAGCAAGATTTCTAAAATGGATTTTATTTTTATTTTTTGTTTAACAAATTCTTACACCAGGGGTTGCTTGGGAGTGCTTATTTAACAACTCTATTCCCCCAAACAGTTTTGGCAAGTGTAAGGCCTCTCCTAGGAAAAAACGAGCCTGCCTATTGCTCTAATCTTGTAAATGTAAATTAAATACAGTGGAGGATGCATGTTCACTTTAGGGCAGTTTGAATTCTGCCTCAGGAACGCTTTTTTTTTTAACAAAGCCCAGACAATGCACTTTGCAGGGGCCCTTCCTGAGGCTGAATTTTCTGTGATACATCTCTGAATCCATGAATAATGGAAATTCAAGCAGGCTTTTATATGGAGTTCCCTTGCAGTGTGTTTTGCTTTGCTTTCAGAATGGGATGGGTTTGAAATCTTCATCGTATGTCTTGGAGTTGTTTTCTAGTGTTTTCCCAGGATGTTTAGAAAATGAGGCAGATGCACTTAACTGAGGAGGGAAGAACAGGTCTGGGTGCAGTCTTTATTTAAATTCTCAAAAGATGTGGGCTACTTAACTGTGTAACTGCGTGAGGTGTTAATACAAAGATTCTTGTTGTAGGGAAGAGCCCTCTTTAATCCACCCTTCTGCTCGCATGTTGCTGTGACGCATGCTGCAGCAGGGTAAAAGTTTGTGGTGAGAGTGGTGTGTTCCTAATTATGAGGTTTTGCTATCACTGTGTTTTTTCAGAGGGACTTTACTGGTTAGAACGGACCTAAATAAAGGAACTAAATGACGGGCAGTAATAGGAAAGGTGATTCAGATAGGAGGGGGTTTTATTTATTTTATCTTCTAGCATTCTTTGTATAGTTTTTTACACTTGAATCTTTCTGTTACTTTTTGGTTTTATATGCAGAGTCTTCATTTAAATAGTGGCTTTACCATAGATACTTGCATTGTAGGCATTGGGTGTTGCAAGCATTTTTACATTAACTGCACTATTGCTGAAAGTAACTAGGACTGTTAGGGAATGAAAGACTGCAAGAAGCTACATTTTTCTGATGCAGACTTAACTGGTTTATGTTTTTTAATATTAACTGATATTTGTTCTTTACTGGATATTTTAATACCTTTTCTGATCTTTTTTCAGGATTGTCTTTGCTGATTTCTTCATTATGAATCTCATTCTGTGGGTGAAAGGATCCTCAGCTGCCATCCCTTTTGGCACTTTGGTTGCTATCCTAGCTATGTGGTTTGGAATTTCAGTCCCGTTAACCTTTGTTGGTGCATATTTTGGCTTCAAAGAGAAGGTAGTGCTCTTTGAATACAGTTTTGAAATATACCTGTCTTCTGCAGTTGAGCCATTGAATGCCTAAGCATACAAGAACTGGTTGGATTGAAATATCTGTGGCCCTATGATTGTAAAATGATGTTTCACTTTGTCATTATTTTGAAACTGCGTATATGCTTGTAATGTCACACTAAGCTATTTTTCTGTCTATTCATTAGAATCGTATTTTAATAGTGCTCTTTGAGGTCTTCCTTGCCTTTTGTACTTCAGTAATACCTCAGCAGTTTCATTTTTGAAGTAGTACTTCAGAAGTACTTCAGTTCATACTTCACTAGTTTGAGGTAATTTTCTTAGACAACTAAGAAAATGGTTTTTTTTATTAGGGACTGAACAGGTTTCTTTCCTTTTGTTCTGACTTGCTTAGTGACCAATAGTTGGAATGTAAAGCGTATGTGTTTTTTCCTAATGATGGATATAAAGTTTGTAGTTTTCTTGGTCTGGTAACTCGTGATGGCTTATGTATGAAAATAAAGTTAACTTATGTTTATCAAATCTTTAGATGCTAATATTAGGGAAAAGCAATCTTATTTATGATGTAATAATTTATCTTAATTTCTTTCGAAGCCTATTGAACATCCAGTTCGTACAAACCAGATTCCTCGCCAAATTCCAGAACAGTCCTTTTTCACAAAGCCATTGCCTGGTATCATAATGGGTGGTATCTTGCCCTTTGGCTGTATTTTTATTCAACTTTTTTTCATTCTGAATAGCATTTGGTGAGTATCACTTTTTTTTTAATTCTAGTTATGATGGTTTGATAATAAACACACAATTGAGTTTGGACATCCCAAACTAATGAATATGAGGAATAAACCAATTCTTAAATTTTTTTATCTTCTTGCAGACTTTTGTGGAATTTCCAGAATCTGCATATTTATTCCTGTGCTTAGAAATTATAAAACTAGTTGTTCTTACTGACAACTGCAAAGCATGAAATTTGAGTCCTATTTCCGTGTTTTATCTTTCTGGCTCTGAACAGCACAAACATGGTTTCATGCTGTTGTGGTTAGGTGGAGCTTAATGTGTTGTGTAACTGTATTATGATTTATGAAACTAATATGATCTAGCAGTTTCAGGTGTTAAATCAGAATCAGGTCAAGAGTTTGGGATTCCATGCTCTGCAAAACAAAGACTCCACCCCCTGTGAAACATCCACACCACTCCTAAATCTTGTCAAAACCTAGTCAAGCTAGTGCATGGAAAATCAAACCAGTGCAATCTTTCATAACTTTCACAACGTAAATATGAAATGTTTAATATATAGTTCTTCAATAGAAAATATTAACTTGAAGGTGCCAAGTTTTTAAGGTATCCTCTGTTTATGTTGAGGTTTCTTATGGAACAGTTTTCTAAATCAATTCTTAAATGGAAATATATTAGATATGGTAGCCTTTCACATTAGTCCTCAACAAAAGTAGAAACCGTGTAATACAGCTTTGCTGGGAAATGTAATCAGCTGACAAACAGGTACACTCTGGGCTTTAGTAGTTGAAATTACTGAATTCCCAACTTGTTTCTCATTATTTGCCCTACAGAAGGGAAGCATGGAGGGAATGTGCAACTTCCACTCCCTCTGTCAAATCTTACTCTGCAATAATTGTCACCGTCACTCAATAAAATTGATTTGGTTACTTCCCTTATCTGAAGGACACCAGATTAAAAGTAAACAAGCGTATTTCCCTTGAAATTTTTTTTTGAGTGTTTTGGTATTTGGTTAGCCCTTGGATTAGAGTCAGACTTGGTCTGGGGATAGACTGTAAGTGGAGGAGCATCTGGTTGGATGTAGTGAAGAGATGCAGGGACACTTGGAAAAGTTAGCTGCAGTAGTAGGAAGGAAGAGGGTATTGTAACTGGGGAAGAGTACAGGTGATGGAAGTGTTAGGGAAGCTAAAGGAGACCTGAAGTGATAAACATTTCTGGAAACTGCCCGTAACTGTTCTCTGTGAAAGCTGATTGAAGCTCATTTCAAGGGAAGTATTATTGAGGACTTTGAGCATTGCTCTGTGAAGCAGTGGTTTTATTTACAGAGTACATTCAGATAGAGGAAAAAAAACTGTTTGTGAATCAGCCAATAGTGGTATAGACAAAGTTACCCCAGTGGTGTGGATTTTTTTTTTTTTCTTCTTTTATCAGCTTAGCATTTAGCCGGGTAACATTGTAAATTAACTTGGAGAACTTCAACCAAAAATTGGACTCTTGTTTTTGTTTATTTTTTATTTTAGGTCTCATCAGATGTACTACATGTTTGGTTTCCTGTTCCTAGTTTTTATAATTCTTCTAATTACGTGTTCTGAGGCTACAGTTTTGCTGTGCTACTTCCATCTGTGTGCAGAGGTAAAAAGTACAATTTTGATGTAGATACCACTTGTAGCTGGAAGATGTTAGAAATAGAGTTGAGGTATTCACATGTACTGTGATGTGCTGGACACTGTGAATGGATTGTATTGTCAGCCTGTCGTGGTTTAACCTGGCAGGGAGCCAAATACCACGCAGCCGCTCACTCACTCCCCCCCCCAGTGGGACGGGGAGAGAATCGGAAGGGTAAGAGTGAGAAAAACTTGTGGGTTGAGATAAAGACAATTTAATAGAACAGAAAAGGGAAAATGATAATGATAAAATATACAAAATAAGTGATGCACAATGCAATTGCTCACCACCCGCGCTGACCGATAACCAGGTAGCGATCGGTACTTCCTGGATCACACCTACCATTCATATACTGAGCATGACGTCACATGGTATGGAATACCCCATTGGCCAGCTGGGCTGGCTGTCTTGATTATGTTCCCTCCCATCTTGTGTACCTAGCTCAGTCAGTAGGCATGGGAGCTGTCCTTGGACTAGGAGGGTACAGTGTGATATCAATATTCTCCTCATACTAAATCCAAAACACAGCACTAGCAAGAAATTTAACCCTATCCCAGCCGAAACCAGGACACAGCCCTTGACATGCCTATCTTAGACACTCTTCTGAAATGTGCCTTTTGCTTCAAAATCCACCGTTGGCAGCAGATAAGCAAAAATAAACAGCCTTGATCTTAGAATAATTTCATGTTCATAGTGGAAACAATACAGCTGACTTTGAGAAAGAAAAAAGTAGCTATGTGCTATGTTGGAATTTTTCTTTTTTTGAAGAATTAAATGTATTTCATAAGACAATGTTATTTTTTAACCAGCTTATTTATATTCTGTTTTCTACTTGATGTCTCTTACTGAATGGTGTATTGTTTCTTTCAGGATTATCATTGGTGGTGGCGATCATTCCTGACAAGCAGCTTTACAGCAGTTTATCTCTTTATCTATGCAGTTCATTACTTCTTCTCTAAACTTCAGATAACAGGAACCGCTAGCACCATTTTGTACTTCGGTTACACAATGATCATGGTCTTGATTTTTTTCCTTTTCACAGGTAAGTACATTGTTCAAACTAAAATGAATGCAGGGGTTTCCATTTTTGAAATGAGAAACATTAAGTGATATTTAGACTATCCGAAACATTAAATACAATTTATGACTCTTTAGGCAATGTTACTTTTATGGTTTGTGACACCACACATCATAGTAAGATATTCTTTAAGGGTTTTTTCCTAACTTGAAATTACATTTATTTATAGTATAACTAATTTTCTTTCATTGCATATTATATTAGCAGTGAGTTCAAACCATTATATTTTCAAAGTGCTGTTCTTGTTCACTTTGATATCGGGGTGTTTAACTTGATTCTGGATTTCATAATTAGTTCTAGAAGCTCTGTAGTTAGAGATATTGCACTCTGCATATGGAGAATAAAAGATGTTTTCAGCTTTCACTATTAGCAAGTGAAACAGGCTGGTGCTGGGAAAAAAGTGAATGTTGACAATAGAGAGTTCTAGCACTGTTAGACGTGGTCTTACCTGCACATTAAGCACCACTTCTTAATGGCAGGAATGTACCTTGACTGGAGGAACCTAGTTGAAATACGGCTCTCCATTTTTAGTAGTCCAACTTTTCTGATGATACTCTGTTACACTTAGTCTGTATGCAGACTAAGTGTCTTCTACAGAATTACTCTAATGTTCATAATCACTTGGCTCAAACTATAGTTTTGAGGTTGATTTGTTGTGAAATCTTACCATGTGTTAGATGAAATTAGAAGCTCTTTGAAGGGTACTGGCCCTTAAAAATAGCCAGGAGCATTTTATATTGGTGTTCATCATACTGCTGCTGTTGTGTATGTAGTTTTAACACATGAAGTCAGATCTTTTATGTATTACACTGCTTAGCATCATGAAATACTGCAGTGGTAGAACTAGAGAAAATGCTAGTTCATATATATTGTGTTGTTTATAAACCCAACCTTTACATTCATTCCTAAGATATGTAATGGAGGATCTCTCTCTGGATGGCATGGTGGTTCGGACTGTTACTTCTTAACATCTTCTGCCTGATTATTGAAACCTGCTGTAATTACTTTGTGTTGGCTTTATGAAATGCATCACTTAAGTCCCTTGATGCAGTTAAAAAAGAGTGGCTAAAACAAGTAATGAAAGTAAGTCTTAGCATCGGACTTCAAGTGAGAAGGACCTCTTTCATTTTTATTGCCTCTAGTACTGGTTGATATGAGGCAAAAAAAGCACTGTTCATAATAAAACACTGAAGAAAATTACTGTATGTGTTTGAACAAAGCAATTACTCTGCAGAAATTATATTTAATAACATTAACTGGCACTTATTGCTAGATTTTTATTGTTTTGTTATTTAGACCTGCGTCTCTTCAAAAGAAAGTAAACTAAAGTTTTAAAAAGAAGTGTGGGGGGGGGGGAAAGAGGAGGATTTAGTTCTTCTAATTTTTAATTATTAGAAGGCAAACATAGAAGTTGGCATATTGCAAGTTAAACCCCTTCTTAAATCCTGGTGAAACAGACAAGCTCCAGATGTCCTCTATAATATGTATCTATATATATATATTTAAGAAAGACCCAAACTATAGTCTGAAATGTTTTAATTACTTTTAAACTAAAGCAATATGTTAATATGTGTCTGGGGTTTAGCATAGGTTAGTTGCTATTCTGCCAATTTCAATTTCTCTTCCGAGATGCAAATTGGTAGAATTAAAAATATCCCTTTCATATATAAAATGATAATTGAAATTGTCATGGCAGCTGCTGAAATGGTATTAAAAGCTTCAGATATGCTGATCCTGGAGTTCTTGATGTGGAGGCCAGTGAGGCCCCAAAAGTACAATAATAAACTGTGCTGCTGTTACTTTTGCAGTGTTGTTTTTTCGGTTGTGTTTTTTTTTTTTTTTTTTTTTTTTTTTAAATAGAACCACAATAGTGATGGCTATGCTGCATTCATAGTTCATGAAGAAAGCTGCTACATGGTCCCTTTTCTGTCTTTTTTTTTTTTTTTTTTCCATTTAATAGAATAGCTAGTCACTAGAAAGGTAATGGGTATAATGGGTATATGGAGTGTGTAATAAATCCTTGCTAATGTAAAATGCTGTGATAAATTTCTTTCCCATATTTAGTTTGATGATTGATTTTTGGGCTGAAGTGTAAGCTATTCTAGATGGATGACTCAAGCAGAAGACATCTAACTTTGCTTTGTTTTGTAAAATATTCCTTAAAAGCACTTGTTTTGGAAAATAAGGGTTCAGTCCTTCACAAGTTTATGGAGGTGAGGGAGTTTGCTAACTTTACACACTGTTTGCATTAATAGCGTTCTTCCTGTATGTATGTTCCCAAAATGAGACCTTGATCTGTTCCACTTAAGTTAGCACTAGGTATTTTGGTTTTCTCTATTCTTGCCTATTAGGTCTCAGCAACTGTGACAGAAATATAAAGGGCAGCGTTAATACCTCCTACGTGGCTGTGTGTTGTGTTACTGTGGACATTACAAAAGAGATCATAATGAATAAGTAAATAGGAACTGAATGCTTGGATGGCAACAACGACAATAATATAATCTGACTGGTGAAATCTAACAATTAATGTGCATGCCCAAACAAGACAATTTTATTTTAATGTACAAAGTGCGGCTAATCTTTCAAGAAATAATAAGTGTGGTTGGATGGGGATAGCTACATGATTACATGCATTTTTTGCTAGGAGATGAAAAAATGCTGAATGTAGTCAAAGCATGTTGCTTTACAGTGACCTCTATTTTTGAACATCATTTTCACTTGTGAGTTAATGCCATTTTCAAAATTGAGTTTTGATCTTCTGGGTAGATTGTGTTTAGAATCCGAGATTCTGAAGCACCCACCACTGTGCGGTGATTGAAACCAGTATGATACAGAGAGCTTTTAAGGTACATAAGAAGTATCAGCCAAGTGCAGAGTGCTTTTCTATTTGCTTTCTTACAGTCTGTTCGTGCTTTGAATTCTTTTTTCTTCATTAAACAATAAAGCTGGAAGAAATGAATAGAGCAGAACAGTCTGCTTAATGTATTTCGGCATTATTCTGTGCAATAATCCTTGTTTTTAATTTTGAATTTAGACTAGTTTACTAATAACTTTCCCTTACCCAGCTAAAATTTGGAACAAGTGGCAAACTTGTGAAATGAGCTAAAATGTAGAAATACTCCAGCTAGAATTTTCAAACAAGCCAAACTAGTTCAGAGTTATTCTTCTTCCCCGATCATTATTCATTTGCAGATCCCTTTCTGATTGGGAAATTTACTCCTGTATAGAAAATTGGAAGCTTTTTGACTGAATTACCTTTTGTGGACCTCTTAGCGGTTCATGGAATCACAAACATCCCCAGGTCTGAGGTGGAAGAAACACTGAATTTCAGTGGAACCAGGCACTGTACTGCTTACGTTCTTAAAAAAAAAAGTTAAGCTTTTTGCTGCAGTACCATAAGCAATCCTGTAGGTAAAGTAGCTGTACAACTTAAAGCAGCTTATAAATAATGTTTCCTTAACTTACATTCATTTCTTGAATTGTAATATGTTGATTTTGTAATATCAACACAACTCTGTGCTGACCTGAGCTTTTGGAAGTTCCTAGGCTGAGTGTTTGGCCCATGTTACTTTAAAAAAAAAAAAAAAAAAAAGCACTAAAAACACCTAGTTGATTTGCTGTGATTAATTCTCACTTCTAAAATCTGCGGTTGGATTCTTGAGGTAGATTTTCAACCTAGTTGTGACTCTGCCAGCACCTTTAAACCATTCTGATCTTTGAGCGTCAAGTATACTGTTTAGGAGAGGTACTTTTGAGGTCCTTAGTTTGATGCTCTTTTTGAAGTTTCTGGTCCATAGAGCTATCCACATCTGGAATTTGTAGGATACATTTGTTCATGGGAGGGAAGAAGAAATTACAATACTGGTAAGCCCTAATTATCGATATGGAGGTAACAACAGAAGGAAACTCTGCTGACCAGGGAAGGTACTGACTACATAAGGCTATATTTTGATGATGAGTCTATCTTTTCTCTCCTGAGCTTGTAAGTTCATGGTTCAAATCTGGTGTCTGACAAACATTACCACTTACTGCTTGTGTTAGGAAACATAGTCTTACTCTAGTTCCACTACATTGCCAAAATTTCTGGTAAAGTTTAAAAAAGGAGCAGGGGGTACTTGGTCTTTGATTTGCTAAACAGACTTTTTTTAGGAGGGAAGGTGAAAATCAATGTTACTGAAACCTGTGAAAATCTGTTTATAGATGAAATGCTTGTTCACAGTATGAAGTCTTCAGATTCTGCTATGAATGAGGCCATGTTTTATAGAAAGCTGGTGTATCAGAAAGATTCAGTGACAAGGATTGGAGGAAAATACTGTGGATTTAGAGTGTGTTCCCATATTAAGTTATGGCATGCTCAGAAAACTGTGTGGAAAATCTCATTCTTCTGTTAGTTATCCATTTTTGTTATGATATTACAATTTTGTTCTAGAACAGCAGATAGATTTTTAAGATACCTCATCTGTTAAACATTTGGAAAAAACATTGCTTTCAAAGCCATAAAAGGCTCAAAGTGGGCAATATTATAGAAACAACTAGAAAGCAGATGCTGAGAACCATTATTAGGAAAAAACCATGAGAGTAAGGCTTACAGTAACAATGCTGATATCGGAGTATTGGACACAGTAGGAAGGAGTGAGAATTGACCATAAACTGCAAAGACTTAGCGATGTCGAGCCTACAAAGGAATTAAATTCCTTCTGTGGTTGGTGTCTGATCTCCTATCAACAGCAGTAAATCTGCCATCTCCTACTGTTTCAGAGGATGATAACTGCAAACTTGGAGGGAAAGGGTAATCTGTGGCATATAATAGGCTGTCAAAAAGCCTTTAACTGCAAATATACATGGTAGCACAAAGAATACAAGAATTGGCGTATAGATAATAAGCATCCAAAGACAGGTTCCTCACTTATCAAATGCATAGATGTGGTCTGAAAGACAGAAATGTAATGAATGTAGAAAAGGGAAGTGCTTAATAAAGAACCTCCTAGTTAGTAAACCAGTCACAATGAAATAGTGAAAAAAGTTGGAGCTGATGTTAAACATGGGCTGTACAAACAGAAAGGGATGAATGTAAAACTGGTGGAGCTGAGTGTATGATCTTGCAGCTGCCTATAGTGTAGCTGGTAAGGGCTGTCACAGGGCTGGCTTGTAGCTGTGTCTTTGAGAGTGAATTCAGCTGAAACTGAGACCTTCCCTTTTTTTAGCTGGTAAGGGTTAACATCTGTGTGGCAGTTTTACCTCTAGGTAAAAGCATGAGGAACAATGCATCGCTTCCCTTAGAGGCTTAAGACTTAATTAATTGTATGGTACTCAATGTCTCCTTGCATACTAAGTTCTTAAAGTAATTTAAAAATAAATGTGAGGGACAATGTCTTTGCAGTTGCCCCACAATAGTGACTGTGGGGTGCAAATTACAGACTTGTTCTTCAGCTTAAAAATAGAAAATTGGTATAGAGTAATCTCATTCGGTGTCATCTCCTCTCTCCATCATCTTACTCTGCACTGTACTAACTCGAGCCACAGGACTTGACATGTGGCCCAAAGTCGCTCCAGAAGGTAGTTGTGCGTTTTTTTTCTTCTACTGTTGGGTTGGATGACTAAAAAACTGGATTGGTAAGAAATCAAGGAAGGCTTGATATCAAACCAGACCACAGGTCTGCTACCCAAGCATCCTAACAGCAGGGAGTATGAGAACAGGGCAAGTGTGTACTGGTACTTTCTCCCAGCCTCCCATCAGCTGTGGTTCAAGGGCTTTTTTAGCACTTGAAATGGTGTCTCTGTAATTAATAGCCTTTGGATTTCTTTGTTCATGAATTTGTTCAGTTGCCCAAACTAGTGTATGTTTTTATTATCTATAGTGACCTGTGACAAGAAAATCCGCAGCTTGAATACACGTTACACAAAATTATGTGTTTTGGTTTGTGTCACTGCTAATTTAATTTGATGCTTGCTCCCAACTGCTACAGCACTCAGAGCATTGCTTTAGCAAAAGAAAGTAACAGGATATGCAGCGTAAGAAGTTCCCTGTTCTCGAGTGTAAATAGAGCACGATGAACAGAAAACCCAGCCAGATGATTTTTCCCAAGGCCTTGTTTTGTGTCATAATTCATAGGTGGCTGTGAACTATTGTAGGCCTAAAAAACCCAGGTAGGTGTTGACTTTGTGTGTGTATAAAAGTCAGGTTCTTAAATGGCGCTGTGTGCCTGCTAGTGATGAGAGTAGCTTCACCTTCAGCGGTTTAAATGTACATCAAGCAGCCTAGTCCTAAAAGTCATCTTTGAGCTAAGTCAGTAACTTAGCATAGGGATGAATGTTGTTGTTAAATTTAACAAGTGCTGTTATTCTGGATAGTTAGCTGGATTACAATGTTATATTCTGTTCTGCTGGGAAGTACTTGTTACGTTTTTCTCTCAGAGCAAACTGGAAGATAAACTAACCATTTTCACTTTCTCATTTTAGGGACTATTGGATTTTTTGCCTGCTTCTGGTTTGTAAGTAAGATTTACAGTGTAGTGAAAGTGGACTGAAAAGCTTCAAAGTGTCTTTTGAACATACCTCCCTTGCTGTTTGATAATTTTTACCATGTATTGAAAAACATCCTGTGTAATTATTCTAATTTGTAAAAGCTGAAGAGCAGACTACAGCATAAAATACAGATTTTTATGGAAGGAAATGGCATCACTGGAAAAATGTTTACATCATTGAATATGTTTAATTCTAATAATTCTAAAAATTATATCCAAAATTTGATTTAGGACAAATAAAAATTCTGTGAACTAGTTTATTTGAAAAATGAGTGCATTATACAGTCCTCCAGCTGAAATTCCTTGTGATTTTTTTTTTTTTTTTGTTACCTGTTTTGGTTATCATTTATATACCATGAAAGCATAGGGCTGTCAAGTAAATCTATGTAAAATGTGAATTTTTTTAACTTAACTATGATTGTACATATTATCCTGCACCTTCTTTACAACTAGATATCTTCTTACAAATGTACATGCATTTAGTGTAATGTAGACTTTATTAAAAATATCGACACTGGTTTTTGTTCAAATAAAACTGCACAACTCTAGCTGACTTGTTTCCTTTCTTGTTAATTAGGCCTTCACTACTTGGACAGAGATCACATTAGTTTGACCAGTTGATAGCTCTCGAGTTTTATATTGTTTATAAGCAGTGTGGCTGTGACTTTGGCTGCAAATTGTCTATGCAAGCAGAAGGACTGGTAGGTTACTTCATTCCATGGCTGTGGGATGGACAGGGGCTTGTGAAGCTGCTGCTCCCAGTACCCATGCCTCAGCTGTGCGCTTACTCTAACTTTCCCCAAAATATTTTTTTCTGGCCAAACCATTACTTTCTATCAAAGAGTGAAAACCTTTTCCTTAGCCCTCTGAAACACGCATCTCATTGTTCTTCATCCTCTGAAGACTTTGTACAGCTTGTTGGGAAGTTAGCTGTGAATCTAGTGGGCTTGGGAATGGGTGTTTCTTGAAGGTAAAGCCTTTCTTCCTGCTCTGCAGCACTTGTGCTTAAATGCTGGATTACATGAGATGAATATCTTAATAGCCCCTTCAGTTACAGGATTGCAAGCGTTCTTCTCTCAGGCATGTCCAAGTTTTAAAGAGGCTCCCCAAAATCTTGAATTGCGCTTGAAGCTGAGCAGAGAGTCACTGCAGACACATAATTCAAATGCCCATGTTACTGACCCCATTGGAGATGAATAAGGGGATGTTCATTCAGATTAATGGGTGAAATACTCAAAGCTTATTAACTGGCATATGGAAACATTCTTCATGGAAGCTGCTTTTCAATGTCTAAGCCCACAATTTAACAAGACCCAAAATGACTCCGTATCTTTTCGTAGTCATACAAATACCAGGTAATTGTAGTTGATGTTTAATATCCTTTTCAAAATGTAATCTTTGGTATGAGGATTTCAAGTCTCACCTCTACGTGTAGTTGTTCCTCCCAGGTTACTTAAGTGTGGGACAGATCACCTGGGTGAGCTGGGATAAGTACCAGGCTACATCTTCTGAACAGTGCCTCGGGCATAAAAATGAGGCTTTAGACAACTTAATAAAAAGAGCCAAGCATTAGGGTTCCAGGAGGAGCTGGCTACAATAAAGATTGCTTCAAGTGAGGTTCAGGTATGCTCTTGATGGCAACTTGGCCTCCCAAATGTTTTCCCTTCCAACCACCAAAATCTCCATTTCCTTTCTGTTCCCTCCGAGAGGTGGGAAACTACAGAGTTGCCATTAGAGAAATCGGCTTGCAGTTATCTGCTGGTTCAAGAGCACCATTCACTCTGTTAAACATTTCATGCTCATATTGAAATTGGTGCTGCTCTGTTTAAAAAGGTCTTTCCTATTAAATCTTACATTTAAAGTTGGGGGTGGGGGTGTATATTGGGTACTTTAAAAAAAAAAAATTGTTGACTGACGCTGCTTTTGAATTTTACATGTTCAAAGGGAAATGAATTCATGAGAGAATTTGGAGCTACAATTGGCATAAAATCCCAGCAGGAAAATTTGCCAGATTAATAAATACACATTTCACAAGAGGCAAAGTAAAATGAGTTGTAAAATTGTATTTATGGTGCTTTCTCTGCTTTTACTGCGACTACTGGTGAGCTAAAAAGTAGAAACTGGGTTAGGCAAGTTTCTGAAGCTTGCTTGTAGTCTAGAGCCAAAGCCATAAAAGTAAAATCAGTCATTCTCATGCAGTTATCATCGAAGAACTTGGTTGGTTTTTTGTAATAGGCCCCATTCATGCAAACCTGGCATAATTCATAATTCAACAGTCTTTGTGGTGGAGACAAAATGTTGCAGAGCAATAGAGTGTATCTAAAACAATCAGAAAAAGGCTTGAGTTTTGGTCTCATTTCTTCAAAATAGATGGATGCTGTCATGGCAAAGGCAATTATTTTGCTGTAATGGTCTGTCATGGGCTGTTCGTTTGAGTATAATTAAGGTGAATTGTACGGATGCTCTTTATTTACAGGCTACAGGGATGAGCTGGCGCAGGCAGTATCCTGACTGACTAATATCTGAGTGCTAGCATGTTTAAAAATAGTTTGTCCATTGTTGTTTTCCCATCCATGGACACCTGTGAGATTTGCTGCTGCTGCTGCTGCACTCTCCCTGCCTAAGAGACAACTACCCATCTCATCTCTTGAAGTCCTCCACATCTAAATATTTTTGCTCGCCACAGATCTGAGATTTGTGCTGTTTGCAGAGAATCTGGACATAAGCCCTCAGAATTTTGTGCCATCTTTTTTTTGACCAAGAAAAAGCTGCAAGCTGTCTTTTTGGCTTGGCACTTCTGGAGAAAGCCACCAGGCTATAAGTTAAATATGAATTGTTATGAGTGTGTATCAATTTAAAGGTGGTGTAAGCCCTAGCCAGAAAATAGTAGACAAACTTCTTGGTTTTAATTTTATTGGGCACAGAATGGGCTGTAGTAATGTGGTTTTCCAGTGACTCTCAGTGCTCTTTGGGAGCTTTTAAACTATGGGTGAAGATCTTGTCCACTCTGTGTTGAATCAGCCATGGGTTTTGAAGATGAAATGGTCAGTATGGGGACATGGATGTTTTAAATACTTAGATTACCAGTAGCTGGTGTCTGATCTCTAACCCATTTTATATTAACTTGTGAATAATAGCTGTCATGTGGAAATAACTGTTACTCATCTATTCTCGTTAGAACAAAGGGCTTAGTAAAACATTCCCTATTCTGTTGCAGATACTCAAGCCTTCCTGCCCTCTTTAAAAAAGAAAAAATTTAGGCTGTTTAGCTTTTCTGAAGTGCGTGTATAGGCATCTACATTGCATTTTTGTGATGCTCCCAGTAAGGCTCAGAGCAGACAAAGTAAAGCATCTCCCATGTAAGACTCCTCTTGTAATAACCACCCCAAATCCAGCAGACTTTGTAGAATGTCATGTTTGTCATATTTTAAGTAAAACTTGACAAGTTTAACAGAACCTCAAAGGAAGGAGGGATTTCAGTGCTGATGTTTTACATTTCATTCCGCTTGCTTGAACAGTGTTGAACAGATACAGCCTCATCTTCACTCCTGAATGTAAGTGCCAGAACAAGGCCATGCTGATGTACAGCGAGGGTGGGAGTCAAGTGCAGTGTGTATATGGGATTTGTGCCCCTACCTATGTAAACCTCCTTGAGGACTATAAACGGTGCTGCTGTGGGGCAGCTGGGAAGACATGGCGTATTCATGATTAGTTGTGATGGAAGGATGTCTGATGAACAGCAATAAACTTGTCTTCAGTAGCTTTCTTAATGTTCCTTGTCCCAGTTCTGCTTTTGTATTTGATAATACATTCCAAGTTCACGTTTAAAATTTGTCTCCGAATGAAGAGACAATGAATGGCTGCTATGCCAATAGCTTGAATGTTTACAGAGATCTGTTGCAAAGGACTGGGGGAGAGGAAATTTAAACTAAACTTTGCCCGCAGTTAAATGCTAGCGTAGATATGGGATCTCTTCTGGAACCTGTGGGTGAGATCTCTAACGGCAATCACCACATGAAGATCCAGCTGTGAAAATCACCCATAAAAGAAGGAATATTAGGCATTTTGCATCATAAAAATTGGGGACAAGGGAAATGGCTGCTGAAGTAGATGGAGAAAGGTTAGGTCATGCTGGTCAGAAACTGTAAGGAAAGGAAGGTTCTTAGACCTGTGATTTCCTGATGGAGGTCTGTCCTCCGTAGTGTTACACCAGATGTTCAGATGTCCAGTTCCATTCCCATGAGCTGTATCACCAAAGCTAATGGAAATAAAGTAGTAAAGTTCAGCACCAGTGTCACTGTTTCTCTGACCACTCTTATATTACTTTGCATTTTCACTTGCAAGCAGAAAAAACACTGCATTTCTGCAGCTGTTGGTATTTCCAGGCTTAAGAATAGAAAGATGAAGCTGCTGTGCTCTTCACCTGCAACTATGAATTGTTTAATTCAACTAAACTTAGATCTGAGTCTTAAAAACAATGTCTGCTAAACTCATGTCATGGAGTGGAGTTATTTCAATATTCCTATTTTTATTAAATATGAACTGTGTGCACTAACCATTTATTATTTTTAGAAAAGGCTACTGCCTTTTCTACAACTGTACTGTTTTCATACTGATAATGGGCATTAAATACCATGCACAAACCTGGTAACATGGAGCTGTAAAATCTCCCGAGCTGCGACACAGAAGCAGCAGTTCCCCCAGCAGCGCCCGGAAAGGCGCTCAGGGCAGTGCGGGTGGCTTTGGATTACATGGCCTTCATTTTCCCTTTCTCTTTCACGTCCAGGGACAACATTCTGCCCTGAGCAGAGCTCCTCCTGCCAGGGAAGTGTGAAAAAGAGGGTCTGACCCCATTTCTCAGAGCTTTCTAATGCACTCCTGCAGCGACGGAGACCAGGAGGGGGTCCCAGAGGGCACAGCCCTTGCAGCAAGCGCCCGAGGGCCCATGTGCACGAGAAGAGATCAAACTGTTTCAGCCTCTTCATTAAGGCCAAAGTCATGACTTGACCGCAGTGTGATTCACTTGTGGAGAGTGGATCTTTTATGGCAAAGAGCGGGTGGGAAAGGGCTTAACAACAGCCTAGGCTTTCCCCTAGGATAATAACCAGTGATGCAGCTCTCCTGGAGACATGGTGGATCCTGCTTAGTACTGTTTCTTTACAGCTGGGTGGGATGTCTTTGACTTTGCTGGGATAAAAGCAGGATGGATGTCTTTCATGTTCTGTTGAGATGCTGCAAGCCTGTACCCAAAACTTCAGGTCAGGGTCACCATCTATTTTGGTATCCAGAGTAACTACAGTTAGGGAGTTCACAGTACGGTACTTTATCTTCCTAATCTAGGTGCCTCTTAGTTACAGGCTACACACACTAATTAGCTTTGCTCATACAAACCGGGAAGCCCTTAGACTTTCTGTGAAGTTATTAGCGCCAGGATTTTTGTAGATAACATTAGCGTCTGCAAAGTTTACCCAAGGTAATTTATGTTCTATTTGCAACTCAGGGAAAACTCTTAGATGTTTGACATCATAAAACAGTAAAACCAGGAG